AGAGTCAGCGTCAAAGGCTCCATCTGACCAGCGGGGAGAACAAAACCCCAGGGTGTCATAGTTTTGTCCTAGTCCATGTACCTGTTCCCTCTCTCACAACCTTTCTAAATATGCCTTCTCCTCAGACCATCTGAGCTCTACTCCAACTCCCCAAATCTCCCGCTGTCCAAAGTCCACCCATTTACAAGTTCTAACCCAAATACCACTCCCAGGAAGCCTTGTTTCAGAAACCGCAGCTCTCTATCCTTGCACCTACTATCTCCACACCTTATTTGCTTATGCCTCAATTTGCCTCAATAGGAAGGTGTGTCACCCAGTAAGTGATCCCTTTCTGAGGGCACCATCCCGGCATCCAGGATAGGGAGGCATATAAGGCAAAAAGCTCAATCCATGTTCCCTACATTTATGATTTAAGACTAGAGACAGAAGTAAAATCACATGCAAATCAAGGTATGATTAAAGGGGAGGAGAAAAGCCTGGTGGATTCTCTGTTTTCACATATAACACAACTTGTTCTTTCTTGTAGACAGCAAATGAAGCCCTGCGGCCTCTGGGTGGGTACTCACATAGTGCCCGATGGTGCTAGCATAGGTGTCCGCAATCCAGGACATCTCTCGCTCACCCGTGCTCATGTCTGGGGCAGGCACGTCAATGCCCGGACCTGGGGGCACAGGGAAAAGCATCGCACCAGTCTCGAAGATAAACTCATCTCAAACACAAAGGCCTTTGTAATTCTCTAACAAAGCTACTGTGGCTAGGGAACTTCAGATTTCACTTAGGAAACAAAGTCATGGCGATATTTACTAAACATTTCACTACCAATTTACACATACACAATGTTATTCCTTCCGCTGGCATTTAGGTGCAGTATAAGCCACTCAATAGGCTTCTGTACGTGCTGGCATTGGCAAATCAGTCCGGTCTTGGGATCTCAGTTCCTTAAACTGCAGCCAGATAACAACGCCATCGGCTCTGATGAAGAGGGCTGTTGTGGGCAGAGAGTACTTGTGTGTGAGAGAGCACGGTACCATACCTTACTCAGGTGTAAGATCTCCTCCGCTAATAGAAGGAGGAGAAAGGACATTGCTAAAGCAGTTATATTAAGCCCACATTACTTTTACACATGATGGAATGCTGCTCTGACCTATTCAAAGCTTACTTGGTGTACATAAAGTTTTAGGCCTTGGCTTTTAATTCCTCAGATCACAGTAAACAAAAATAACAAGTTAGCTCAAAAGCAGCAATAGGTATCAATGACTATACACAGTGAAATTCAGATAAAAATGTGTTGCCCGGCTGGCAGAGCTCAGTGGTTGAGCGTCGACCTATGAAGTAGGAGGTCATGGTTCAATTCCCAGTTAGGGCACATGCCTGGGTTTCGGGCTCGATCCCCAGTGGCAGGAAGCAGCCAATCAATGATTATCTCTCATCATTGATGTTTTTCTCTCCCTCTCCCTTCCTCTTTGAAATCAAATAAAATACATTAAAAAGTGTGTTAAATGATGCTCACTCAAATATGTAAAGGCAGAAATATGTAGAAATACTTCTACCAAAGAAAGTGAGAATAAAAGGGTGACCTATGCCCATGTAAATGACTTAGCACCATCACCAAAACAGACATGAAGAAAAATGCAGGTTTCATACACCATGTATATGTTCCTGTGTACATATATCTCTCTATGTCTCTATGTATAATATCTATGCACAAACTCATATGCATACATGTGTATAGAGTTTGGAAACATATGCACAAACTTGCTCACTCTTTGGATTTCATTCTTTTTTATAGCTTTTTATATTGTTTCAACTGAATAATAAAAACTCATTGTCGGCACCAAGAAAGCATAAAAAATGCGGAGACAAAGAAACAGGATGCAGATGTCAGAAATGGAAGATATAGAGCTCAAAACCACACTTTTAAGGTCTTTCAATAATTCTCTAAAAACTGCCGATAAATGTAGTGAGATCCTCAAGAAATCTAATGAGACCCTCGATGTTGTAATAAAGAACCAACTAGAAATTAAGCATACACTGACTGAAATAAAGGATATTATACAGACTCCCAACAGCAGACTAGAGGATCCCAAGAATCAAGTCAAAGATTTGAAATATGAAGAAGCAAAAAACACCCAAACGGAAAACCA